TACATTAGGTCCATAGATGTTGATGACTTGATAAGTTTCTTGATGATATTCTACTTCTAAGTGTAGGAATCTCCCCTCCAGGAAGGCCTGGGGCGTCAAATCCCTACATTGTATTGAGTTAGCTAAAAGGGAGGTAACTCCATTTGAGATATTTTTGCCATGGTTTGTATATAGTTTAAAGTTGGAGTGTAATTGAAGTTGTGTGATGTCTTGCTGTGTTAATTCAGATGTTTCTTGTAGATTGATAATTTGATAGTTGTTAAATGCTGTGGTAATTGTATGGTATTTGTTTTTGAGGTTTCTGTTTATGTTAAGTGATATGAAGTTAAGTGCCATGGTAGGGGGGTATTAAAGGGTGTGTATTAATAGAGTGTTAGTTTTACAGTACCTTTATAGATTTTGACTTCAGTTTGTCCTAGGCGACAAACTTAGGCGGTTAACTTTTTGGATACACTTTGTGAAAAGTGGAAAAGGTGGTGTAAGGAGGACTTCTGAGTCTACTTCAATGATGTTTGCGTTTGTTATTTCAAGTGTGGATACACAGATTTGAGAGAGTGTAACCATGTCTAAAATATGACCACGCCCGGTGGTTATGGTCTTGGAGTAAAATCCCTGTATACTGATAACCTCCATTGTTTTGTTTTTATATACTTCCAGTGCTTGAACAATGTCATTCAGACCTCCGCCATAATAGTATACAGCATTGAAGAAGAACCTCTGTAAATACGGTAAAGGCTTCAGACAAGCAGAGTGAAAAGTTTGAATATTACATTCACTGAGATCCAATTGGAGGATATGAATTGAATGGAATACAGAAAACGTGTCGTTGGTAATTTCTATGATCGCACAATCATACGCATAGATCTTGTAGGATGTAGTTCCAAGTGAAAGACTTGTGAGATTTTTCAAGTTGGAAAATCCCCATTGAAACACTGTATTCGGTGTAGTATCAATATTTATCTGTTTTAATTCAACGAGTTTACTGATTGCTTGATGTGGTAGTTGCGGTTGGTTTTTATGAAATCGAGACATATCCGATCTCATAATCAATACTTGAAGAGACTTGAGCGGTTCAAAGACATCTACTGGCAATGATTCATTTGTATAATTCAATCTGTGACCGAATAAGTGAAGTTCTTGCAAGGTCTGTAATCCATTAAAAGCGTTCACTTGTATCAACGATATCAAATTTATACTAAGATCTAAATATTGAAGGTTTGTCAGCTCACTGAAATCATTGTTAAACAAGGTCGTTATATTATTGCTGCTTAAATCAAGTCTTGTGGTATTCACAGGTAAATTCTTCGGTACGTTCAGAAATCCTAGGCCTGAGCAATTAAGGAATGTGCTGTTTGGATAGTGTTTACAAGACTGGGGCGAACCAAAGGTGAGAAATGTTAAAATTTCTACCAACAATAGAACCTTCAGCTTCATTTTCATTGTTATAATGACTGTTTCTTAAATCTAGAAGTAAAAACAATTCACTGGTAAACACGAAGAACAATATTCATGAATATCATCCCTCAAATAGACTGAACATAAAACTGATTTAAAATGAAATGATCAAATTTGGCCAAAAAAGGTATATGTTGATAAGCGGACTCAATAGTGTCATAACAAGAAATATTAAAACAGAACCTAAAAACATATTGTTGTTCTGTTTTTATATTTCTATATAGCTCTACAATTGATGTATTGATCACTATTTTAACAGTGATATTTCTATATCACTCTACAATTGATGTATTGAGTACTGTTTTAACTGTGATATTTCTATATCACTCTATAATTGATGTATTGAGTACTGTTTTAACTGTGGTATTTCTATATCCCTCTACAATTGATGTATTGAGTACTGTTTTAACTGTGGTAGTTCTATATCACTCTACAATTGTTGTATTGAGTACTATTTTAACAGTGGTATTTCTATATCACTCTACAATTGATGTATTGAGTACTGTTTTAACTGTGGTAGTTCTATATCACTCTACAATTGATGTATTGAGTACTGTTTTAACA